AGAGGAATTAATAGTGGAATCTTGGTAGGTCTCTTGTACAAAATTCAGGTAAAGTGTCCCTTCTCTTGTAAAATTTGCCTTACAAATTCTACTAAGGCTTGTTATCCAAACTCAACTCTGGCAGTTATTGCAACAACTAGAAACCCAGGATAATTCTGAAAGAACAGTCATTCGTCCTCATGTGAAACAAAGTTTTCAACTCAAATAAACCTGAGTACAAACCCTCAAAGATGGGTATCAGTTTTACCTGAGGGTGGGGGGAGGGGATTAAATATAGCATTATTAAAAAAAAATTACGCAAGTAAATGTTTTCAATTTCTTATTGAATTATTAAATTCTGATTGAATCAAATTATTAAACAGAATTGTAGAATTTAGAAACCAATGTAGAGAGGGCTAATGGATCAGGTATCACAACACAGTGTGACTTACTTTAAATTGCAGTCGTATTTACAGATAATGAGTTATCATGGTTTGAGACTGATTTTAATTGTGAAAAATTAGTTGCACATTTTAATAATAATTATATTCAATAACTGTTTTTCCTAGTAGGAAATTAACAGTTATGTCAATGAAAACAGTCACATTGACAGAGCTTTTTATAGTTCATGAATACCAATGTTGCTAAGACCTGAAAAATAAACGAGGGAGAACATAGGAGGGAGCGCGCCTAAGTGGGGGGTCACACGCTGGTATTAGAACTAGAGGGTCAACGCGGAACTGAAGGTGTTGCCCAGACACAGGCGGTGGAAACTCTAAAAACTAATTTGAACACACAATTAATTTACTCACAACATTTTCTTTTCTTTTCGACAGTCTAACTTTATTTTTTTTTAATTTTTAATATTTTAAAAATGCATTTATTTTCTTGCATCATTGTTGATTCTTGCATAGTACTTGATTTCTCCCATCCGATGCAGTCCCTGTAGCTCTCCCCCCACCAGAGCACCCGGAGCCATCACCACAGTCCCTGTGTTCTTCCCTCCTGTTGATCATTTGTCAGTATTTCAAGCCAGACGCACATTTTTAGTCCTTTAGAAAGGAAAATGAACTCGTGGCGTTGAAAGCCGAGGAGTCAGCAGTCCCTGGGAAAGCATCTGTGTCCCGTCTAAGCAGCAGCTCCGGGAGCCCCGTCAACCTGCTGTCCACGGGCTGCGGCTCTGGCCTGAGCATCAAATGAACTGGCTGTGCCCAGGCCCGTTTTGTCCCGGGTCCATGTGGCCCATTTCTGTCCAGGCCCGCGCCGATCACCTGACCACCCCTTCCCTCGCAGAGAAGGGGAGGAAGGCCTGGCGAGGGGGGAGCTAGGAGAGTGGAGGGCGGGAGGCCTCGCCAGCCCTCGACGTCGCCTACCGCTGGGCACGTCCCCAGCCCACACTGTCCCGGGTGTCGGGTCCACCGGACGACAAGCGAGGAGCAGATGGCGAGCCCTGCGCTCGGAGGCTCCCGGCCCCAGTCCCCCAGCCGGGTGAGTGGCCCCGCTGCTTGGAAATGTCTTCCATCTTCCTGACGACATGCTAACTTCCTGCGTTTTGTGTAGTTGTTTTTTTTTTTTTTTTTTTTTTAATGGCTTAAAATCTTTCAGTAATAAAGCAGGGGAGATGCATAAATGAACACATATTTTATAATTCATTGGCTAAGTGCGGGGTCTTGTTACTTAATGTTCATTTATGGAGTCACCTTTTAATAGAAAGACAAAGTCATGTGACCCGAGTTTTAATCCACAAGGAACTGCCCATTATATCAACCTCAGGGGTGTGCGCTGATGGGAGGACTGCACACCTCTGGGAGGAGGGGAGGGGAGCACTGGAGGAGGGGAGGCGAGGACGGGAGGAGGGGAGGCAAGTCCTCGTCACCAAGCCCGCCTTCTCCACTCCCTGCCCGTCCTCAGCGCTGCTGTCAGGGAGGCGGGTGGGACAGGCTGGCCACTCCCAGGAGGTTCTGGGGCATCTTCTCTCCAGGACCCGCAGGGAAGCCCCTAGGAGCCACCCCCCCCACCCTCCTGCCGCAGAGCCCAGGACACCGAGGAGCCGACTCTGGAATCCTGCACGTGAAAACGCAAGTGCAGTTTCCCCTGTCCTTGTCCCCGGGGCGCCCTGCTGTGCCACCTGCCCGGAATCAGCTGCTCTGCGCCCTGGGGCCCTGGGGACGTTGGCAGCGACCTGAGTCGTGCTGCTGCAGGTCGGTATCATCAAGGAAAATGCAGAAAAGCAGCGGACTAACATTTTTCGTGTCAGCCATAGCATGGGCCATTCTATTTGTTTCTACCCACTGATCTTCTTGAATCATATTAAAAATTCATGCGTGAAAACTGTGGAGCCTGCCAGCGTTTGCCGAGCAGAACCTGTGCTCCGGGTCGGACCGACTCCTCTTTCACAGTCACTCGTCAACATTAAGTTGATGGGAAATTTCACGACAAACATCGCAAGCGTCTTCCTGTCTCCCAAGGCGCATGTGCCAAGCAGTCCTGTGCCACGACAGCCCCCGCGTGCCCCAGTCCTGCTTATCCCCAGACAGGGGCTCGTGCGCAGCTGCAGGTCCAGGCACCTGTTCTTGCTGCCATTATCTCCACACAGAGCTGCGCCGTCTGATGTGTGAACCACGCGGCTATTTTTGTGACATTTAGTTAAGAGTCAAAGTTTCCCTCCTCAGTCACCAGGTCGTACCCCCGACGCCTTAGCTAGCTCAGGAACAAGAGCTTTCCGTGCGGCGGTGAGCAGGGCAGCTGACCCAGAGCAGACAGCGCGGGGCCGGGGCCTGGGCCCACAGCCACTCTCAGCGCTTCACAGACTGGACCACCCTTGCTGCTCGGGGTCAAGTCCAGGTGTTTTAGAGCCTGGGGCGCCTCCAGTTCCGGTGAGGGGCCTTCTCACCCCTCCATGAGGCACACCACTCGGGCACCCACCAGCCCCTCTGGAGTCCTCGGGGTGTGACGAGGAGTGGGGAGAGGGAACCAGCGTTTGCCCGGCGGGAGCACAGCCGCTTCAGCACCTCCGGAGATGGGGACATGGCAAGTGGACCGTGACGCTGGCCAGTTGTCTGGCCAAGGCCCTGCGGTCTGGCCACGCGGGGTAGGACTGGGCAGGGTCTGGGCTCATTTTATTTTGCAGGGCAGGGGGTGAGCTGTTGCTCACGAGCTCATGTTTAATACTCTTAATGTTTTATTTTCAACCTCAGACGCGCATAATAGAAATGTGGTTAGCAAGGCTCTCAGTGATGGAAGCCCACGGGTTATAGGAGAAGATGTTTCTTTAAATGCGTGCTATTATCCTGCCAGTGGCAGCAAATAAATTGCTTCCTCTTTATTCTGACTCTTTAGCTTGCTGAATCAGTACTACAGTCAATAGCAGCTTAAAAGAATTAATATAGCCATAAAAAAGAAAAGCAGTTTATATCCCCACTGACTGTGGGATTATCAAAGATAAAGCAAAATGTTTCATCCTATATTTTTATTATTTTCAAGATGAGTTCTTTTCCTCCTCTTTTGACACTTCTAAGAGATACTAATAAAATAATTTGAACAGGTCAAAATAGTCTATAAATTACTTTTACTGATACAATTTTACTGATACTGATTATGAAAAACACCATAATCTTTTTGTAAAGAAACATCGCCTCCTCTTTTACTCAAAAGCAGTGGGGTTTTTAAATATTTCTGACTCATTTTCTTTGAACCATTACATAGACCAACACAAAATCCATGTAACTAACCAAATACACACTCAAAAGCCACAGTTAAATTTAAGAAAATGTACTTCTATTAAGACTAAAATGCCTAAATTAGTTACATTTGCTATTTTTTCTCCTCAAACACACATTTCCACATAACAGATTCACATTTTAATGGCTACTGGGAAAAGCAAGACATAATGTCCTCTATCCTCCTAAAACAAATTGATGAAAAAATTCTGTAACAAGGAGACCTTCAGATTTCTCTTGCCAGACAGTTTGTAATAATTTTAAGCTCGGTCACAGTCAGCCCACTGCTCGAGACTTCTTTCTTGAGATACTTACTTTGATAATTCTTCACTTGATCCTTTAATTTTTAACATTAATTCATGTGTTGTGAATTACAAATAATCCCTCCGCTGACCCCCAGACAGGGCTGTGAGGCTTTGAGTCACACCTGTCAAGTGGCTTCACGTAATGTTCTTTGGCCCCAAAGACCTGCGTTCCCCTAACCCCCCATCTCACCCCAGCCAGGCTCTGCTGTCTATGGGTGGAGAAGCCCTTTCAGCTGATAAGTATCACCCAAAGCCAAGTTGCTGATAACAAAAACAAATAATTAAATAACAGGAGCTGGTTAGAGACCAGCTTTCATTTTTCAAATCCAACACCAGCTCCTTCTCCAGTGAGGAGACTGGCAAGTTTTTACAAATAGCATCAGTGAGCCTTTTAGAGGGAAGCAGCCGCATTAGAGCGGGGTCATTAGGCAATGCATTTATTTTGAAGCCAATTAACCTTTTGTCAGGCAATGTCTGGGCGGTAATGGCCTCGGTGCGGGGTCACCTCTGCCAGGCGGTGGCAGCCCTTGCACTGGCCGCAGACAGAGGCACGCGGAGTGGCCTGCTTGTGCATCCAGCTCAGCGCTCCCTGGGAGCAGGCCGTCCTGACCTATCCATTTAGGTAATTAAAGCTTCCATTTGGAAGTGTCCTGCAGGAAGGTGAAATTGGGGGGAGATAAATGGCTGTTGCTCTGCGCATCCACCACCAGTTCCATCATTTGATGGACTGCCTGGGACAGGCTGGGCTGCCAGCTTCTCATAAAAATAGAGATGAATTGGGCAGTAGGCAATTCTCTACAGCAAAGCAACTCTGTCATTTTCTTTTTTGCAGGCTGTAATTTAATTGTTAGTCCAGGTGGACGGCTGACACAGGGGGCCTCGCTAAGAGCTTCCCCACTCCCTTCCACTGAGAAATCGCTCGTGTTGTGTCTACACCTGAGCCGAGTTCCTGGGCCGGGGAGATGCCACCGGGAGGGGCAGCTGCACCCAGACTTACCTTCCAGGCGATTTTGTTTCCTTTGGAGTCGTGCTCCAGGGCAATCGGAAAGTCTCCTCGCTCGTAAAATTTGCGAAAGGCTGTGGGCTTGGTGGGTCTCTCTTTAAAGGCTCCGGCAGCTGGAGGGCCTCGCACCTTCGAAAGAGGGAACCAGCTTTTAAAACCATCCACAGAGAAAGGCTTTATTTTAAAATTTTAGTTTCTATGAAATATTCTGGAAGATAAAGACCCAATCTACCAGAGACAACAAAAATCTCACTGGCACAAACTTTTGGAGAAGAAATCTATCTTACAATTGCTCGTAAGGATCTGCTTTATTCCAAGCTCCTTCAGAACATATTCCTAGGAAATGTCCCTTAAAAATATCACTTGAGGGCCTCCCTTGTGGCGCAGGCGGTTGAGCACCGCACTGTGAAGCTGTCCGCAGCCTCTGCAACACCGTTTCATCCCAGTTGGCCGGCAAGAATCCCACATGGCCCGGCAGACCTCTCCTGTCGCGCCCGCTGCTCCCCTCAGCAGTGTATTTCATCAGTCTGCCTGTTCTGCTCCCTGCTCTTTCTCTGGTGAATCCTCTCACCCTCCCGTGCATCTGACCTGTACCCCGGTTCTTGAATAAATAATAAAAATCTTAAAAAAAAATCACTCGACAAAGAGAAAACGCTTAGCTTTTGTATAAGAAAAGACAGGGTAGAGGTGTGGGATTCAGAGTGTTAAAACATGGGTTCTCTTAATCGAAGCATGTTGGTTACGTCCTTGTTAGTGGCGTGGCAGGTGGAGTCACCTTAAGGCACCCGTGACTGAAGCACCCACAGTCCCCCCACTACGCCCTGCACTCTCCCTCCCTGCTCCTAATCACCCCTCTGTCTCTAGAGACCTCAGATCTGTGGTCAGGTTTCAAGGGCTGTTTTTAAAGTTTGTCTTTAATCTTTTGTTTGGTTTCTCCACATTCCACATATAAATGAAACCATCTGGTATTTATCCCCTTCTGGCTTATTTCACTTAGCACCATCCCTTTCAGCTCCCTGCCCACAGCTGCAGGTGGTGTGAGTGTATCGTTTTTGATGGCTGAGTAGTGTTCCATCGCATGTACAGACCAGTCATCTGGATCCACTCATCTGTTTGGGGGCATTTAGATTTCCAGAGCTTGGTTATTACCAACTGTGTTGCAGCAAACCTAAGAATGGAGATTTCCTTTCAAATTAGTGTTTACATTAATGCCTAGAAGTGGAATTGCTGAGTGGTTGGCAGTTACACTTCTAATCTCTGGAGAAACCCCCACACTGCTTTCCGCAAAGGCTGGACTGGTCTACACTCCCACTCACGCATGGTACGGGGCTCCTCTCTCTCCACACCGTCACTGGTGCCCTTGGTCTGGGCCATTCTCACAGGCCCAGAGAGGTGGCCTCTCCCTGTGGTTTGTGGGGGTGTGTCCCTGATGATTAAGTGGTGATGAGCATTTTTTCACGTGCCTGTTGCCTGGAGAGTCTTCTTTGGAGAAGTGCCCATTTAGCTCCGCCCATTTTTTGACTGGGTTATTTGTTCTTTTTGTTGATCTTTGGTATCAGTTCGTGTTAACACTTCTCAGATTCCTCATAATGGCATTTCTGATCTCAGGTGTGATATACTTTGGGGCATACTGAAGTAATAAATTTAAATGATTTACTTTATGCATAAAATGGCATTATGTGTTCTCATGTTATGAATATTAACAACAAAGCTATAAAAATGTGATATAAAATTAAGTAATGATAAATGAGTTTCAGAAGAAAAAGGGTGGCCTATTATATCTATGTCTAAAAACATTTGATAATATGAATTTATAAGTAGCACTGAAATAGATTATATGAAGATCACTTCCAAAATTCAGATTTTTAGCAAAGAAGCAAGTTTCATTTTGAGTTACCAACACTGACTTCATCTTTCAAATCTGACTTTTTATTATGCAATAATTTGTTAGATATTCAAATTCAAAGTGATTAGTGAACTCTCTAGAAAAAATATAAAACACTGTATTATTCCTTAAAGTCCAAAAAGGATTATCTTTCCCTGTTTATAAAAAGAAAGGTAAAAACTAGTCACTTATTACTTTTACAATGATTATTTTATTAATTCTCAATAAGGACAAGATAGCAAATAAATAATATATTAATATTTTAAGTTTTTTTACATTATGTTCATTTTTAATGCTTGTGTGAAAAGCTTTAATTTTTACATAAATAAAAATACTTCTAATACAACAGATGTATTAGGTAGTGACAAATACTCCTGAGCTAACTTACAGAAAAAGGCTAACACTCGAAACTGAGTGTGACATGGAGAAACACCTGAGGATCTAGTGCCGTAGTGGAAGTGAAGAGAAAGATCCAACAAAGGCAGTTGCTAGAGTTCGGCTTTCCCTCCCTCCAAAGTGCGCTGTGCTCAGCACATGGGGAAGGAGGTAACAGAGGCAGCGCTGGGCGTGGGCAGGACTTCCTCTTTCTTACTGACGACTGAAGTGTGTTCTGGGAGTCGGGTTGTCAGCCATCATTTTTGGCCCCAGTGGTTGGACAGCACTCGGGGCTCGGCTCCAGGAATGTCTCAACTAAGCATCGTGGAAACCTTGAGGCTGCTGCCTGGACTTCTGCAGATCATGTCGCTGAGAAGTTTGAATCACATTTTTTGGGGGGAATTTATAAAGAATCAGCCACCATTTATTTTTCCAAGAAGTTACATTTTAAATAAGTCACCATTTGAAGACACCCCCAAAAGAGTTAGAATAAATCTAAAGAAAGGAAACCTAGTGGAGTTAAGCCAGAATCATATGTATTTACAGAGTCAGAGTGCAACAGCACACGTGCATGTGGGGGGGGGGTGTGTGTGCACTGTTATTGTACAATACTGCTTACTGGTCAACAGATGCTATTCAGCCATTAAAGGAATGATTGTGCTACTTGTGAGAACATGGATGGAACTTGAGGGCACAATGCTAAGTGGCATTAGTCAGGCAGAGAAAGACAAACACTTTGATCTCACTTATAGCTGAAATCCAAAAGCACACCTGAAATCATAGAGACAGCCCAGAATGGCGGCTGCCAGCGACTAAGGGTCCGGCATCTACTGAATATCACTTTTTCATTTGCTTTCCATCTTCCTGATTATTGACAACTGTCTATTGAAACCTGATGCTGGCATAAGGTGAGATGCTAGACCTTGGTCCTTCTGTTCTACCTGCTCTATTTTGACAGCTCCCTGGCAGAGATACGGGGGACGGTGCCCCTCAGACCGCCAGAGTGGTGCAGAAGCTCTGGTACCCCGCCTGGCCTCCGTAGACTCCAGCGGAGACAGCTTTTCATCAAAGCCAGGTGGAGGTGGGGTCGCAGCACCAACAGGCCTCCCTGAAACCTCCTGCCACAAGGTAGCAGCACCCGGTTACTATGCCCCACAGGGACACCCCAGAGGGGGGCCTCATCATCTTGAGTAGTGGTGGCATCCTTGGCCACCACACCAACAGAGGGGAGGAACGTCTGTTGACTAGAGTGGGAATCCAAGCTCCCCAGTGGTCCCCATGGACACTGTGGGTTTTGGGGGACTCTTTACTGATCAAGAAGAGATGAAAGATCTAGTTCCTCAGTACCTGCCACAACCAGTGCTTACAACTTTGGCTGCTCACCTACTAACCATCCTTTTCAGTTTTTTCGATGCCAAGTTATTATTTATGCTGTTCGCAACAAATTTGTTTAATTTATCAAAACTTTCCTGGAGATCATCCATCTTTCTCCCTCGCCTTTGTATTTCTCTGAAAATCAATTTCTCTTTTTCCTTTTGTCTCCTATGCTAAATATGTTCCCATCTTTCTGATTCTAAACTAAAAACTCCAATTGCCCATTTTTTTCAAGGAATGAACACATTCCTTAGAAGCTTAGCAGGTATTTGATAAATTGTTCTAAATAATGTATACTTTCCCATCTCCCATACGTTTTCATAGACTCCAGACAGAAGTGACTCCATACCTACAGTTCCACGGAAATAATTTACAGAATTATCCATGTTAATATCTAATAACTCAACAGTAGGGAAACTCTTGAGTGTCTTCATTCTTTGTCTATATATTTCTGCCACTTACTTTTAAACACTTTATTTTTTTGATTATGCTATAGATCCATTCTAAATAAACTCTTGGAATTTCAGAAGTTGTAACTTGTAAAACTGAGTAAATGTCTCATTTAGACCCTATTAATCGTGCACTGGGGCTGCAGCTAATTTCCTGCAGGTGCCCTGTCCCCACATCCCTGGGTGATCTTTCAGCCCCACGTAAGCTGTATAAGAACACACTGTGTGTTTATCTCCTGCACACAACCTATTCCCACTCAGAGTAATTCTAAAGCTCCATACATGAAAAATCAAGTGAGATATAAATCTAGGAATATGTAATGAAGACACTACTACTGGAAATCACATGGATGGGTGTTGCTTGATTAAACGACCTTAACACCAATCAAAAATACCATTAAGAATTCTTAGGTGAGTCCCATATTGGTAGAAGAAGAAGAGGAGCGACCATAAATTTTATTTAATGTCTTAGGAATTTTACCCCTATTTGTTATAAATAATATAGAGCAAATAAGGAACATAAATCAAACTAGATTTGTGGGAAAATGCAATTAGGATTTGCCTGAATGGTGGAGACTCTCCATAAACCAATTAGGAAGAATGGATGTTGCAGCAAAATGCTTTTAATAAAATCTAATGCACTTGGGAGCCAAGATATTGAATGCACTTTGAAGTGGCTATGGATGACAGAGTACTTTCTATGCCTACATTATTGAATGTACTGTAATGGATTTAGGACTGAGATCACAGTCTGTCATATGGTCGCACACTAATAATAATTAGTAGGAAGGAATTTAAGGTGCTCTAAAATTCTTCATCATCTACTTCTAAAGTTTCCTTTTTAGCAGTTTTATCTTTAAGCATAAACTGAAGCTAATATTTAAATAAGACTTTTACTTCAAGTGGGAAATGTACATGTAGCTATTCTACTTGTTCCAGTTACCCAACTCACTGATGTTGAAACAATAAATGCAAAGACATTAGTTTCCCATCTTCATCAGCCTCCATCTGAAACTGTGAAACAGGAGAGCACCATGCTGGGGTGG